TTAAACGCTGTATTTCACTCATGTTGGAGGGAGGCTGCATATCCAACACTAATTTTACCTTCTATGGGTTAGCCTATATCTCTCTGCTATTAACTATGAATCCTAGAAAATTTTCTGCTGACACCCCAAAGGCACACTTAGCAGTGTTGAGCTTCATCTTGTATTCTTTCAGGACCTGAAACGACTCTGCTAGGTGCCCAATGTGGAGCTCTGCCTTCAGCGACTTGACCAGCATATCGTCAATATAGACCTCCATGGAGGTCCCAATCTGTTTTTGAAACATCTTATTCACTAGGCGCTGGTAAGTGGCTCCTGCATTTTTTAACCCGAAAGGCATCACTTGATAGCAGTATATCCCTTGCTCAGTTATGAATGAGGTCTTCTCTTGGTCACTGGGATCCATCATGATCTAATTGTACCCAGAGAATGCATCTATGAAGCTTAGGAGCTCATGTCCTGCAGTGGCATCTACAATCAAATCTATCCGGGATAAAGGAAAACTATCTTTTGGGCAAGCACGGTTGAGGTCTGTAAAGTCAATGCAAAGACGCCATTTGCCGTTTGTCTTCTTGACTAGGACTACATTGGCTAGCCAGACTGGGTAATCCACTTCTCGAATGGCTTTCGCGTGAAGGAGCTTGCTGACCTCTTCGTTGATGGCTTTCTAACGCTCCGGAGCGAAGCTCCTCCTCTTCTGCTTAATGGGCTTACAGGCTGGATTCACGCTGAGCTTGTGAGTGATGACAGAGGGATCAATCCCTTTCATGTCCTCTTGCTTCCATGCAAAAACTTCCTTGTTCCTTTTCAGGAATTGGATGAGGAGATCCTTGATCTCCTTGCTCAGCTTGGATCCAACATAAACAAGATGCTCTGGCTCCTCATCGATTTGAACAGGTTCCAACTCTTCTGATGGTGTTGGCCTGGTCTCGAGTTCATCCCTCATGTCAAGATCATCCAATTGGATGCTCTTAACCTCCTTATTTCTCATAGATGCCATGTAGCATTCTCGTGCTACGCGTTGGTCTCCTCGAACCACTCTAACTCTGTTTTCTGTTGGAAACTTCACTACAAGGTGATATGCAGAGGGAATAGCCCTTATAGAATTAAGCGAGGGTCTTCCAAGGAGCATATTGTATACTGAAGGTGCGTCAACCACTAAAAATTTCACAGCTGTAGTAGTCTGACAGGGTGGGTCACCTAAGGTCAAGATGAGTTGGATTGACTCCAGGGCCAGCACCCTTTCTCCTGAGAATCCCAATAGGTGGGCACTTGTTGGTTCAAGCTTTTTCCTCCCTATATCCATTTTGTCCAAAGCATAAGCAAAAATGATGTCTGCCGAGCTGCCATTGTCAATCAAAACACGATGGATAGTCCTGTTGACCACCACAACTCTTACCACCAAAGGGTCGTCGTGGGGATGTTGGCAGCCCTCCAGATCTGAATCTGAGAAAGTGATAGCTGTGTCTAAGCGTGGAGATTTAGACACAGTATATACTTCGGGAGCTTCTGTGGCTCTGATTTTTTGCAAGTGAGCCTTTCTAGCAGAGCTGGATCCTCCTCCTCCGGCAAATCTTCCAGATATCACTCTGATCTCCCCCATAGGCTGCTAGTGTGGCTCTGGTGCTTGACGCTGAGGGGGTGGGGGTGGGAGAGTTCGATTTTGATTATCATTGGCCATATAGCGTTGCAGCTGCCCTCGCCAGATTAGAAATTTTATTTCCCTCTTCAATTAGATACAGTCTTCGGTGTGATGACCATGGTCTCTGTGGAAGTCACAATACTTCGTAGAATCCCTTTTTGCCGAGTCTACTTTCATCCGGGGTGGCCACTTTAACAACTTCTCATTTTGCACCTTATACAGTATCTGAGACACTGTAGCAGTCAGGGGGGGTGAGCTGCCGGGGTGCATATCTCTGTTGTAGCTTTGGTTGTGGAGGGCCGAGGCGATCCTTGACATTTCTCCTTCTCTTCGGGAAACGCTCTCTGTCTCTTCTTGGAGACTTGCCTCGTTCTTTTTCCTTTTTGGGACTTCGTTCTCTCTTCTTTTCTTCCTTCCCTTTCTCCTTTTTTGACGAAAAGCTCCTGACCTTGGAGAGGAGCGCTTCCTCACCATTTATGTACTTTTCTGCTTTGGTGAGCACCTCCGTCATACTAGCCTGGGGGTTCTTTGAGATAGAAAACATCAGGTCTTTTGACTGAACCCCGAGACCTGCTATGAAGGTTGTAATAGCAAATTTTTCGTCTGGGACATCCACCTTCAAGGATTCTGAGTTGAACCGTTGGACATAAGACCGTAGGTTCTCATCAGGTCCCTATTTCACGTTTAACAAATGGTAGCTCGATTTCCTATAGGTTCGAGCTCCAATGAAGTGGGACACAAACGAGATTGACAACTCTTTAAAAGAGGAAATCGAGGTTGGGGGAGTCTATTGAACCATGCTAAGGCTGAGCCCTTCAGGGTGATAGCAAAGGCCCTACATCTCATTGGATCTTAATATCCATGCAACTCCATTTGGTTTTTGTAGGTGTTGAGGTGGTCCACAGGATCTTTTGTCTCATCAAAAGCATCTGCTTGCGGCATTCTGAATTTAGGTGGAAGAGGGAAGTGCAGCACCCCAGCAGTGAATGAGAATTCGGTTTGCTGCACTAAGACATCCATAGTGACTGGGGTCTTGCTTTTTACTGCCTCTTTCATCTGGCTGAGCTCTTGCTAGATGTCTTTGAAACGTTGCTCCCAGTGGTGTTCTCTTCTCTCCTGTTGATAAGGGAAGAAGTCGCTCCTCTCCCCTTCCTTGTACTGACTTTGCACTTCCTCGTTGTGTCCATTCCTAGGGGTAGGCGAGGTTCTTGCCCGAAGGTCTGGCTATTCTCTTCCACCTCATTAAATTCTCTGAAGGGGTCGAGATGCGGTTGCTCTCTTGGTAATGGGTTATTCTGGCCTCCTTGGGCCAGTCGTGCCTCCGATGGGCATTGTAGGAGCTTTAAGAGCTCTTAATTCTGTTTTATCAGATGTTCATTGACAAGATGAAGGGCCTCCATCTCATTATTCATGGGAAGACCCCCCATGGGGGGATCTACTTCTTGAGCGTTTTTGGGTTGCCTGTTATTTGCGGCTTCCTGTTGATCTTGCATCTGTAGAGGATTGGTCTGACTTCGGCTCATGTTTCACGTTGATACCATCAGTCACTGGAAAATCAGCTTTATTTGTAACAGGAATAGTTGTTTCCCACAGACGGTGCCAAACTGATGGTGTATTTCAACGTGAAGCAAATTTGTGATGACGAGTAAATGAAAGAAATAATTGTGGAATTGTTAGAATCTGAGCTACTAGACTCGAGTGAATGATACTGAGAATTGTCGGGGAGTTGGGGAACTAACACAGTAGAAATATAGTGGTTTATCAGCTCGGGAGCTCGGCTAATCCACTCTTTAATGGAGACTCTTGCTCCTTGTCTTTCAATAATGATGATTTTAAGAGTACAATGACTAGTTTTTACCTTTAGGGTTTTTTTTTTCCTTGGGGGCGTTACATAGTATTTATAGGGTTGTTTTCTATTCAGTGGGATCTTAGCCGAGATTTTTGCCCTTATTTTGTGCGGTTCTCCTTGATTATAGGAGAAGATCTTGGTTGGTTGAGATTAGGTGCCTTAATTATTGCTTCCTAATGCTTTTAGGAACCTCTTGTGATCTTCCAGCTGTTGTCTTGGTTGTTATTGCCCTTGCTTATCTCGAAGGGACCTCCAGCTCTTACTCTTCCAAGTTCTGTTCGTCTAATTTGACCTCTTGGGCTAAGCTGACCTGTTGAGCTGGCGTTTGGGATTTTATCTTGAGGTATCATAATAAATAATGATAGATCTCTTTGAATTCTATCATACCTTTATCATTAACTCTCAAGTTTGTACATTGAAAAGATAAGTAAGATGTGTGGAACTTAAATTAAAATATATGATCAACTGCCCTAATACCATGAAAAAATGTGGTCAAAACATAGTGGATACATACATGAACAAAATTTTTGATGGTCAACATCAATGATTTATTGATTGGTGCTTGTTTACAAGTATCCAACGCTATGTTTGGTTCACCATGGGAGGATTGGATTGGATTGGATTTGAATCCGAACCCAATCCAATCCAATGCAAAGTGGTCTGGATTGGAGGATTATAAAGATGAGATTCAAATCCTATCCCATCTTTGGATAAGATTCATTTGTTATGTGGGCCCCATTAACATGTGAAAATAAAATACACATATCGATACCACTCAAGTCTAAGTCGTTATTTGTTTATTTATAGACAAGCCGAAGTTGTGTGTTTAAAAATAAAACTTAATTATTTTTTTTTCAATAAATAGCAAAATTAATCTAAACCATATTAAACTTTTTCAATGACCCAAATACAATTTATTTTCATGAATTTTAGGACATTTTAATATTATTGCCTGAATTAATACCACAAATCAGGTCAATTTAAAATATGTTGCTTTAATTAAAATGTTAATTTTTTTTAGAGTTCATCTCTAAGTGAACAAAATTTTAGATGTAACGAGACCCAACACCACTGAACAAAAGTGATTTTTTAATGAGACTCAAACCCGTTCATTTAAACTTGACTTAGACTGAATATTTTCACACATTTACTCTCAAAATTTATGTGATTAAATACCGAATGTCAGAAATTAAGTAATATCTATTTTGAAGAAAAATTATAATGTAGTATATAATATAGAGTGTAATCAATTTTTTAATAATGTCAAATGACAAATGACATGTTATTTCATCTATGGCTTCATCCGAGTAAATGAATCCCACATGCTAGTTGGGTTTCATTTATCAGAGGGGATTAGTTCAAGAATTCCTACGGCTCAGTAATTCAATCCCCAAGTTTATCCCATTGCATTTTTTGGATCTAAAGTTGGGATATGTAGGTCCCCGGTATTTGAATCCAATCTAACATGTCCTATCTATCCTTATCCTTCTAAACAAACACCACCAAAGATCTTTATCTCCACCGAATCTTTCCCTCATGAAAAAAGTTGCACCAAACCAACACTGTTCCACCACCTCCTACCGCTCCAACACCACCATCAGATCCACCCAACCCACCAGTCACCACCAGATTCACCAAACCACCAACGTTTTGCCACCTCCTATGACTCCAACACCACCAACAACGGCGATCAGCGACAGTAGTGACTAGTGACCAATGATCGATGCCAACATCTTTCTCCAGTAACACACCTCCCTCTTCTCTGCAAATCGATAGCTGCTCGATAGCAGAGCAGATCGGTACTACTTATCGTCATCGTCACTGACACTGACTATTTATTAGCATAAATTGATGGAGCCAAGAAGAAAATATGGAGATATCATACAGTTATCCCAAGAACTTTTGAGGGACTATCACAAAAACTCTGGCTCCCCTCGTTCTGCTCTCAAAGTGGACATCACCAAGGCCTTTAACACAATTGACTGGGGCTTCCTTATGAACACTCTGGAAATTGTGGGCATTCCATCTAGAATGAGAAGATGGATGAAACAATGTATCAGCACCCCCAAAGTGTTCTTTCAATGTAAATGGGGAGCTTGTTGGTTTCTTTTCAAGCACTAGAGGGCTTAGGCAAGGGGATCCCTAGCCTATACTGCCCAACTGGGGATTGAATGTAGCCTATGTAACCATTCCCAAGAATCTCACCAACATCTCCTTTTTGCTTGCCCTTACTCAAGGCTCATCTGGTGTCATTTGATGCTTTTATGTGGTGAACAATGGCAAACTACTTCTTGGAAACTTTTGCTTGATCAAGTAGCTCAAACATGGAAGGGTAAATCCATGCTCAAAACCCTTCAAAAACTATGCCTCTCAGTAGCTATTTACTCCATTTGGGAAGAAAGGAACTCAAGGCTCCATCGCCACCAATCCATGAACTCAAAAGTCATCTTGTAAGCTATTGTCCAAACCATTAGGGACATAATGCTTTCTCTTAGATTCAAGAACACTCCAAGGAACGAAAGGTTACTTCTAACCTGGCAGCTTCCCAGCTCATGCCACCTATGATGTCCAAGTTTGTTTTGCAAGGAATTGTATAGGACTACGACTAATTCCCATGGGGTACTCAGCTAAAGCTTGGTACCTCTTAGGAATTCCCCATTCTTTTGCTCACCAATTCACTGCTTGTATTAGTTTTTTGTTTTGATGTACATCACAGAATTTTCACATGAATGAAGACTTTATTTACTTTCCGAGAAAAAAAAAAAGATAAATACTGCTGATGTTTATCACTTACATTTTTTTAGATTAAGTAGATAATGATAAATTTCTTTGAATTCTATGTTTGTCTATCATTGCAAGGTCAACTTTATAATGATACGAATTCATTAAACCTAAAATAACAAAAACTAAACAAATTAAAGGAAAATTGTAATGGGAATGGTACAGCACAACGGCAAATAGGACAACGCAAGACAAGTAGATAATTTAATGAGATGTAGAAACCAACATATATTTTACTAGCTCAAGGCCTATACTTCTCACAGAATTCCAAATTAAAGATGGATGTTTTGTTTTTGTCTTTGACTTTTGAGGGGAATCCAATCTTTGTAAAGTCCCATCCTTTGATTCTTGTGTATTTTTGTTCTGATCAATATATTACTTTACTTTCCGAAAAAAACATATTTTACTCAAAGGGAACCATTTATTCTTCAAAACCATTCTAAATTTTAACATTAATTAAGAGTTCAATATCGTTACCGAAGACAAAGTTTGATTTCTTATGTTTTTCTTTTGGTAATATATTTTGTCCTATTTTAGATTTCTCTTTGCACCTCTGTGGGTATTTTTCTTTACTATAGAGAAATCATTCTAAGTTGTAATATTCTAACATATTTTTTTGATGGACTGTACCCAAGGAAAAATTAATCAAAAGGAAAAAGGACAGAAAAATAATGTCATGGTTTTCTAAATAACAATATTAAAAAAGAAATGGTTTGCCAACTTGGGGTAGGTTAGACATGTGTAATTTTCATGGTAATGGGGAAGAACAATGCCATTTTGGTTAGGTGAAAGGATGCCTCCATCTATAACTTTTTTTTCCAAAGGTAAAAATTGTATAAATATTAACCATCAAAAGTACATGTGAGGCAAAGTCTTTAACAAAATATATTAGGCTCAGACTCGTAAAAAAAAAAAATTATACAACATGAACACAAATACTTTACGAGATAGAATTTGAAGGAAGTATAAGCCTTGAGCCAGTACTTCCGACTGAATCCCACTTCAAGAGAGTATCACTTGGCAGAAAGCAAGCTCAGGGAGCATTGGTAAATGCTCAACATCCAAAAAAAAAAAAAAAACCACGGGACATAACGTTTACCCAAGGCAACAACTGTGAGGCCCAAGAATTCCCCAAGTGAGAGGTTTACTTGATGCAGCTATTGGTTAGACACCAAGAGTGCAACAGTTGCCAATTTTGAGGAGAAGATTTGAACTTTAAAGATGCTGATCTATCTATTACAGTTTGAAGGGTCATGCACAATATTGAGTTGCTATCCTTACTCTGGTTGGTGAAGATTATGTCGCTCCTTTCTTTTAATCTGTCAATATTGATTAGCCTCCTCCTCCTGGTTTGGAAGAAAGTACAAAAAATAATTTTTTATCTAATTACATTCATTCGGATGACATCCTCGTTACAAAGTGGTCTCAATCCTCAAGCATATATGCCCCTTTCCGTGAATAAGGTTTTTTTTTTTTTTTAATTTCAATGTGATTTAGTTCTCTGTTTGCCATCAACTATTGCAACTGATTAAGTTAGATTGATCATTTATTTTCTTGTTAAAATTCACATAATGGGTCCTCAAATTCGTTACCAAATTCTGAGGAGTCGGTATAAATTTATGATGATTGGCTTAAGTCTAGTCCCCTTTAGAGCCCATTTCAGAAATAAAATAAAATCAAACGTTCGATCAGTATCATGGCATTTTGGACTTGCAGAAGGAACCAACATAAAACTCTAACTACCAATTCTATAAATAGCCAACAGGGCTACAATGCACAAAGAAAGAGCCATTCGAAAAACTAAGTAAAACCTAAGCAATATGCTGTAAAAGGCTTCATGCCAAACAACCTATAATAACAATCCTCTTTTCCAAGCAATACAATCTTCAAAGAACAAGTGCCTTTCTTATAGTTGACGTAACCTTAGGTTTTTGGCTAGAGCAAGCCACTCACACATTCTCATATGTGTGCGCACACACACACACACATTCGTTGGGCAATCTCCCAAGCTATTCTGTCGACCAGTCCAGTCAATTTCGAGCACCGTTAGCTTGGGGCCGTCTGTAGGAACGATTTTCATCATTTTTTTTTTGAGTTTTCTTCATCTACTTGTTAGTTTGATGGTCTTTACTTGAAATAAAACTAAAACTCATGCAAACTAGTAGACCCTACAGAACCAACAAGGTACCATCCATGACAACCAGCACGAAAACCTCTCGATCCTGACCATAAACGTTGAGGACGACCACCCGGCAACGAATCCAACTCCTATCAATGAGTTGGAGACATTCCGCTGAACCACTATGCCGGTTGTACAGTAAAACCAGGACCTTATAGCATGGATCTAGGTACATCATCTCCATTAGGTCCCATTTGCGCTTCCTGAACTACCTCCGCAACCAACTCAGCATAACCATCCTCTTCAAGATCATTAGAACCTAACACCACCCAATTGAGTCATAGATGCACATGAACACAATCACTTAGGAGAAAATCACCATCGACAACAACCAAAAGAGAGAATAGACGACAAGGCTCATAGCCGCGCCAGAGCTGTTCCAAGAGAAGATCACCTTCCTCCTCCCCAACATAACACCATGGATTAGTTCTAGGAGGAAGGTTTCGAGAAATCCAACAAGTGCTATGAAACATCAAAGATGTAGTGAAAGGGAAAACCACTGGCACCATAGCCGCCCTAGTCTAACAAACTGAATCCCCGTTTGCCACAAAAATCTTACACTTTCCTTTGCCCTAGAAGTCCAGAATGCCACAGATTAACTATTCTCAATCGCTAAGAACCCCCAAGCAACAATGGTTGAGATCCTCGCCAAAACGGAGAAATACATAAATGAAGAGGAGGCACTCTGCATGAATGGGAATGCGTCAACCTCGAGTGAGGGCGAGAAGAAAAAGAGATACCACAGCCCGAGAAAAGAAAGAAGGTGCAATTGATCCCCTTCTGTTAACCTACACAAGTTACNAGCGGAGAAATACATAAATGAAGAGGAGGCACTCTGCATGAATGGGAATGTGTCAAGCTCGAGTGAGGGCGAGAAGAAAAAGAGATACCACAGCCCGAGAAAAGAAAGAAGGTGCAATTGATCCCCTTCTGTTAACCTACACAAGTTACACCATTGTTGATGTCAACCAAGGATATTTAAGGTTGTTTTTCATTGACCAAAAAGGCACTCAAGTTGACCCTTTTTATTACAGTTTGACCTGATTAAAGATAAAATATCAAATATTATAAATTTTACAACAAAAATTCATGTTATATTATGTCATTTATTGATATAAAATCAAAAGTAANTTTTTAAGGTTGTTTTTTATTGACCAAAAAGGCACTCAAGTTGACCCTTTTTATTACAGTTTGACCTAATTAAAAGATAGAATATCAAATATTATAAATTTTACAACAAAAATTCATGTTATATTATGTCATTTATTGATATAAAATCAAAAGTAAAAATATAATTTTTCTTAAAAAAATTATAATAAGTATACAATTATATTATCTATTGGAATAAAACTAAAAAAATAAATAAATGATCAAACTATAATGAACATAATATTTTCTATCTTTAATTGAGGTAGTTTAGTTGTTTAATAGATAATATAATTGTATACTAATTATAATTTTTTAAAGAAAAATTTTAGTTTTTTATTTTTAATTTTATTTTAATAAATAACATAATAGAACATGAATTTTGATTATAAAATTTAAAAAATTTGATATNATAAATAAATGATCAAACTATAATGAACATAATATTTTCTATCTTTACTTGAGATAGTTTAGTTGTTTAATAGATAATATAATTGTATACTAATTATAATTTTTTAAAGAAAAAATTTAGTTTTTTATTTTTAATTTTATTTCAATAAATAACATAATAGAACATGAATTTTGATTATAAAATTTAAAAAATTTGATATTCTATCTTTAAATGAATTATTTTTGTTTTAAGTATAATATTTTACACTTACGGGGTTTA